AAAAAAGGGGGAAGCCAGCAAAAAAGGGCAGTTTGGCTTCAGAAAAAGCTCAGGGAGGACTTAAAAAACAAAAAAGGCATGTACAGGAATTGGTAAGAAGGCCAGGTCACCAAGGATGAGTACAGACATGTAACAAGGAAATGCAGGGATAGCATTAGGAGGGAAAATGCTGAGAATGAGCTGAGGTTAGCTAGGGATACTAAAAGCAAAAAAATTGCATTCTTCAGGTATGTGAGTCACAAAAGACAAACAAAAGACATAGTGGCACAACTTCGCAATGGAGATGGGAAAATGATAACAGAGAACAAAGGCAGAGGTGCTCAATTCTTATTTTAGTTCAGTCTTTTCCCATAAGACAGACCATGGACTTCCAAACAAATTGGAAGTGCAAGTGTAGGGGACAGGATTGCAGATGGAGATAGATAAACAGTCAAGGAATACCTTGCCACCTTGAATGAGTTCAAATCTCCAGGGCTGGATAAACTGCATCCAAGAGGACTGAAGGAACTGGCTGAAGAACTCTCAGAACCTCTATCCGTTATTTTCTTAAAATTATGGGAAATGGGGGAGGTGCCAGAGGATTGGAGGAGGGCTAATGTTGATCCTATTTTCAAAAGGGCAAAAAAGAGGAACCTGGAACTAACCAGTCGGCCTGAAATCAATCCCTGGCAAAATTCTGGAGCAGATTGTAATGCAGTCATTGTGCAAGCACCTAGAAAACAAGGCAGTCATAACTAGAAGCCAACACGAATCTGTCAAGAACAAATCCTGTCACACTAATTTGATCTCGTTTTTTGATCAGGTCCCCTCCCTGATAGACAGAGGGAATGCTGTACATGTAGTATATCTATCTTGAGTTCAGCAAAGCTTTTGACAAAGTACCCCATGATATCCTGATTAGCAAGATAACTAGGTGTGGGCTGGATAGATCAAGTGTCAGGTGGATACACAATTGGCTACGGAATCATACTCAGAATGTGATTATTAATGGTTCCTTCTCTAACTGCCAGGAGGTAACAAGTAGAGTACCCAAAGGCTGAGTCCTGGGCCTACTGCTCTTCAGTATTTTTTATTAATGTCTATGATAGAACTTTTCAATTTTTTGAAAGGCTGTCATAGAGAGGAGGGACAAGATCTGTTCTTAATCAGTCCAGAGTGCAGGACACCAAACAATGGGCTCAAGATAAAGGAAGCCAGATTGCAGTTGAAAATCAGGAAAAACTTCTTAACTGTTAGAGCACTACGGAAGTGGAACTAATGACTTTGGGAGCTGGTGAATGCTCCAACGGAAAAACTTCTCAACTGTTAGAGCACTACGGCAGTGGAACTAATGACTTTGGGAGTTGGTGAGTGCTCCAATGCTTGAGGCATTCAAGAAAAAATTAGATCCTCACCTGGCAGATATGCTTTGATTGTATTCCTGCACTGAGCAAGGGGTTGGACTTGATGGCCTTGCAGGCCCCTTCCAGCTTCACTTTTCTATGATCTTAATATCATTTACTCTACTTTGCAGTTTTTAATCTCGCCACTGCTTTGCATTGTGTCAGAAATTCATTCATTTTCCTTCAATTCCTTTTGTATTGTCTTGTTTTTGTGTACCTTGTACACTTGCAGTGGACATAATTTTCAAAACCCTGCACTAGAAAAAAGCAGCCCCCTGTGAGGGTGAGGGTTTGGGGTTACTTGGTGCACCCTCTACTTTGGGTTTAATATTGTCAGGCACAGATACTGGTTCAAGTTGCAATGCATTAACATTTATTTTAGGAACTCCAATATAACAATTTACATCGATGTTGTCCGTCTCCTTCCTACCCAACAGGGCAAAGGGGTTCCACTCTTGAGTAACAAACAGGTTCTCATGGCTGTCATTCCATGGTTCCATTGGGTTTAACTGGTCCCAGTCTCCAAATGCCAGCTGTAGTGGTAATGGCAGCAGGGGTCTGGCAGGTTCTTCCAGATGTTGGTCAATCTCGGTCCCTTGCCCAGCTTGAAGAATTCTCAGGTCCCTGAAACTCTCCATCATTTGTTGCATCCTCCATTTGGCCTTTAGGAGAAACTATATGGATTGTGTCATGGCCATCTCTGTTTCCTCTGCTTCTCCCCCCTTTCTCTGCTGAAAATGGCTCTCTGGCCAGATAGGTCTCTATCTTGCCTCCTATTTTTTCCATCCAGATTCAACCCAAAGAGAAAAAGGAAGGTGACATCATTCTTCAGACCAAGGATTCTGATCCTCTCTGTGTGTGTGTTTAGTCGTTTAGTCGTGTCCGACTCTTCGTGACCCCATGGACCAGAGCACGCCAGGCCCTCCTGTCTTCTACTGCCTCCTGGAGTTGTGTCAGGTTCATGTTGGTTGCTTCGCAGACACTGTCCAGCCATCTCATCCTCGGTCGTCCCCTTCTCCTCTTGCCATCACACTTTCCCAACATCAGGGTCTTTTCCAGGGAGTCTTTTCTTCTCATTAGATGGCCAAAGTACTGGAGCCTCAGCTTCAGGATCTGTCCTTCCAGTGAGCACTCAGGATTGATTTCCTTCAGAATGGATAGGTTTGTTCTCCTTGCAGTCCAGGGGATGCTCAAGAGCCTCCTCCAGCACCACAATTCAAAGGCATCAATTCTTCGGCGGTCAGCTTTCTTTATGGTCCAGCTCTCACTTCCATACATCACGACAGGAAAAACCATAGCTTTGACTATTCGGACTTTTGTTGGCAAGGTGATGTCTCTGCTTTTCAAGATGCTGTCCAGACTTGTCATCGCTTTCCTCCCAAGAAGAAGGCGCCTTTTAATTTCAGGGCTGCTGTCTCCATCTGCAGTGATCATGGAGCCCAGGAAGATAAAATTTGACACTGCCTCCATATCTTCCCCTTCTATTTCCCAGGAGGTGATGGGACCAGTGGCCATGATCTTAGTTTTTTTGATGTTGAGTTTCAGACCATTTTTTGCACTCTCCTCTTTCACTCTCATTACAAGGTTCTTTAATTCCTCCTCACTTTCTGCCATCAGAGTGGTATCATCTGCATATCGGAGGTTGTTGATATTTCTTCCGGCAATCTTAATTCCGGCTTGGGTTTCTTCCAGTCCAGCCTTCCGCATGATGTATTCTGCATATAAGTTAAACAAGCTGGGGGACAATATACAGCCTTGCCGTACTCCTTTCCCAATTTTGAACCAATCAGAGATA